GATGTATCATAGCTATGGATGATGCATGTTGCCTGTGCCTGCGTGCGTTTTTCCCGACAAAATCTGCGAAGGATTCCTTCCAAAGAGCGGCGGCCAGTCATCATCTTCATCATCATTTTCATCATCATCGCCTTCGTCTTCGTCATCATCATCATCATCATTATCATCATCATCATCATCAGACGACGACGACCACCACCACCACCACCACCACCACCACCACAGCAACAGCAACAGCAACAGCAACAGCAACAAGGCACAAACAAACACTGTTCTTCTTTTTGTTATTACCCTTTAGAGTAGAAACAAAGACTGGGACCCCGTCGTTGTTATTGGGGGGGCCAACAACAAGAATCATACATACCTTATCTAAGATTTAAAAGGTATGCGTTCATATGGCTCTATCTTATGCCAGAGGTTCGTGGCGGTTTAAGGTGGCAAGTTTGGTGGCAAGTTCGGTAGTGGTGGCAGTTAGATATATGGCAATGTGGGTGGCAGTTTCAGTGGCAATGAAGAGTTGGTGGCAGGTTTGATGGCAGAATGTGATGGCAAAAATGGGGGCAGCCGTATATTGTTGGCAAAGGGGGTGGCAACTTTGCATGGCAAAAATCGAGCCGGAAGTTTAGCAATCACATTTTGCTGGCAGCAGAGGTGTCAAAATTTGATGGCGGCTTTTTGGCGGAAAAGGTTGCAAACACCTTCAGTGACAAAAAGGCGTTGAGTGTACATGGCACATGTTGACAGAAAGGGAGTGAGAGACTTTTTGGCGGCAAATGGGGTGGTAAGTTGATGGCAAAAGTGTTGGCAAAATTTGGGGCAACATCAACTATAGAGAGAGATGTTGACAAAAATCATGGCAGCCCTGTTGCACCTTCAACGGAGGCAACACCCACCGACCCTATGAAAAAACACGAAGCCAAGCAATATGTGATAGGCCGGTATGCTGTTTTCAACAATCCCTTTGCTGGTGGCGCAAAAGCAGCTTCAGCCCAGCGCACGCTTGTCCTTCCAAGGCAATCCGCAATAGTTTTTGGTTGCCACCATTGCCCGTCAAAAAATAAGGCCTATTTTTGTCAAAAATATGTAAAGCTTATTTTTGCAAAAATCGACCTTATTTCTTGACGGGCAGGTGGGCAGCTGCTTGGGCAAAATTTTACTCAACACTTTTTTTTGTGCCCCACAATGTTCCAGAATGGCTTAAACACAGAAAACCATTAGACAAAAACACAACCGAAAGGCGATTGCTGACCAAGTGAACTGTAAGCACACCAATTTCTGAGCACTAAGTTTGATCTTTTGACGCCGCAACCATCTGATTGAAGATGGTCACTTGCTTTGCATATGGCACAATTTCAGAAGCCGCTTGTGCACGCCAACGGCTGCATACAATATCATGTGGATATGCAATGTGCCTTCTGCATTTCCCAGCGATTTCCCACTTACGCGTCCAGTCTCTAGCCCTTAACACAATTTTTTGCCATAGCTTTGCCACCTGTGTTGCTAAGGCTTTTGCCTGCAATGCAAGTTTGCCTTTTCGTTGCCACCAGCGTTGCCAAGGGCTGCCCAAATTTTGCCATTGAATTTCCAGCCCCTGCTTTTACCCCCGCTACGTATTTGCCCGTGCAGCAGCAGGAAAAGGAAGCAAGTCTGAAGTCAGGTTGCGGGGGATCCCTTTTTGGAGGATCCAAGCCGCTGACGGCACAAAAAGAGGTCCAGCTGCAGGAAAACGAAACGTCTGATCATGCAAATCCGGGGTAAAGGCTGCCAGACCCCTTTTTGACGACATTGGGCTGCTGAGTGATCTACAAGGGATCCAGCAGTTGGCAAAAAGCACGCGTCCCCAAGCCAATCCTAGGAAATACGCGGCCAGACTCCTTTTTGAAGGATTGCAGCCGTTGGGCGGCAAAAAAGGGGTCCAGCAGCTAGAAAAATCATAGTGATCAAAAGCGACCCTGGCAGACCCCTTTTTGCAAGATTTCGGCTGCTGAGCAATCAAAAAGGGGTCCAGGAAGCTGTAACCAAAAACAACAATGGAGGAAAAAGTCCACACCGAAGTTCTTTTTCAAAACGGAGAAAACTCCATAGACGCCCTTGAGGAATACCAAGCAAATTCCAAAATAAGCTCGGGTAGCTTGTTTTCAGGGCCCCCGTCTTTGTTTGTACCAACAACAACAACAACAACAACAACAAACAACAAACAACAAACAACAAACAACAACAAACAACAACAAACAACAACAAACAACAACAAACAACAACAAACAAGAAACAACAAACAACAACCAACAACCAACAACCAACAACCAACAACCAACAACCAACAACCAACAACAACAATAACAACAACAAAACAAAAACAACAAAAACAAAAACAACAAAAACAGCAACAGCAACATCTACACCTCTACACCTCTACACCTCTACACCTCTACACCTCTACGCCTCTACACCTCTACGCCTCTACACCTCTACACCTCTACGCCTTTACGCCTCTACAGCTGCAACGAATGTACAACTTAACATCTGCAGATGTAAAGGTACAAGTACAAGTGTATAGATTTGGGTGAAAGCATCTAGACTTCTACAATTGTAAAGGCACATGCGCAGATGCAGATGTATAGATGTAGGTTAAACCGTCTACACATCTACAACAGCAAATAGGCCGATTCTTTTGCACCGACCGAACTTGCGCCAGAAGAACCGTTCCCAAACGGAATAGGCGTCGATTGTCCAGAACTGGTGATAATTTGGAACCTGCGCCGGAAGATCCTTTTGCGCACAAAACGCGTGTCAACCAAAGTCACACATTCGAGTCAGTAAGATTGAGATAAATTCCTGCCCAAACCGCGCGTCGATCGTCAAAATCTGAGGCCGAATTGTGTTTTTAAAAACGTGTGCATGCGTAAAAATAGCAACATCTGATAACATCTGTGTGCCAAAGTTGTCCTATGTGAAAGTGTTGTGTTCGTAAAAATAGAGCTACGGTGTGTAAAAGATCCTGCGTTTAAATGTTCTGTGTGTAAAGGCCCCCTTGTGTAAAAACGCCTATGTGTCAAAGTTTATGCGTGTGAAAGCACTTGTTTGTAAAAAATGTGTGTGTGAAAGTTTCTGCAACAGATTGTGTGTTGGAAAGTCTTTCTGCGTGGAAACATTTTTTGTGTAGAAGATTCCGTGTGTGTGTGTTTTTTTTTGTGTGTGCGTGTCAACGCATCTTGGTGTGAAGCCTCCTGTGCGCATTTTTTTTGCGTATAACAGGTTTATGTGCAAAAAAACATGTGAAAACGTTTGCGCATAAAAGTTCTTGCATGTAAAAAAACCTGTAAACAGTTTTGGTGTGTACAAGCACTTGTGTATTTTTTTGGGGGTGTGGTGCAAGATTTTGCCCGCAAAAGTTTCTGAATGTATTTGTGTGTGAAGGCACGTGTGTGATCGCGTGCGCGTGTCAGTCTAAGCGCGTAAAAACACATACGCGAAAAAAATGTGCCAAGGATTTTCTCTGTGTAAAAGAGATTAAAAGAGACCGTGTAAAAAAATCTGTGTGTAAAGGTACTTGTGTGTCACGGCACCTGCGAAAAAGTTTATGATTGCAAAACCCCTACCCCTTAGACCAGGAGGGACAGAAAAGTGTCGTATTATTATTTTTCGAGGGTAGGGAGGTGAAAAATGTAATTTTACAATAATCGAATTTGACGTGAAAAATGTATTGTTACAAGTTTTAGGTGCCATGGGGGAATAGAAACGCTACCCTACACCGCACTACCACTACACTACCACTCCAGTACAACTACAACTACAACTGCAAACACTGCAACTACAACTACAACTGCAACCACTACTAACTACAACTACACCTACATGACGCTACCACATACCACCACTACACTGCACTAGACTGAGGTGACCACTGCAAACCACTCCAAAAAGCACAACTCCAACCAACTTGCGGTGCATCAGTGGATTCGCTCTGCCATCCACGCATCACAACAACTCACCTCCTATAGTTTCCTATCTTTGAAACTTCCGCCGCCGCCTTGTGCGGTACTATTGGTAACCACCATCATCAACAACACCTTGTTCACCCGTGGCCCGTAAGATCACAACCAACATCACACCATCATACCATCGTCTTTATCAAAAAGCTTTTCGGCTTTCGGAAGGAACCCTTCGGGCAACATTTGATGTTTGTCTCCAGGTTCCTTTTGGGTCGCACAATCGCCTCATTTTTTAATGGCATTCAACGGTTTATTTCACGTGAATACAACTTATTCCACCGTGAAAAATCAACACGCTCCAACTTCAAACCTACAGCACTCCTGGAAGAACATGCTTATCTGAAGAGGTTGCAGGTCGAAAGGACCATCTTCATCAAAAACTGGCTCAGGATCCAATTGCGCGGACGAGACCGAAACGTGGGGGTCTCGCCCTCGTGCCATGTGGCACCCGAGTGCCGCCAGGGTTGCCCCATCGCCGGCTTTGGGAGGTGGTTGACAAAAATGAGCAAAAAGAGTGAACCTGCCATCAAACTTTCGAAGCCAGTCAAAAACTCACAGCCACTTCTCACTTGAACTGATTCTCACAGAGCGGAAAAGGCAAGAAGGCAAACTGCACGGCTGCATAGAAAGCAAAACTTTTGGCAGTCGAGGTGGCAAGCTGCACCAAGTGTAGATCTATGCAATGGGCAAACAAAAGAGTGCACCGTTGGCAAAAAGCAGGGCCCAATCGGCCACTGCCCTACAAAAAGGGCAAAAGCTGCCAGGGATCACACTTCGGACAAACATCACCGGCAACCAGGCAAACTAAGTTGGAAAAATACCGATGGCCACACGGAGGCAAGCATCGCACAAAACTGTAAAGAGCAGGTCTGGTTGGAAGTAGGTGCCAACTTGCGAAGGTCATCCCACAGGGATTGTCGTAGGCCAACAGGTCCACGCCTCATCGGTTCAATCTTCAAAACATCCACCTTGTGCTGCCGGAGACCAACCATCATCGAAAAGATTGCTTCACGAAACTCGGACTGCGCCACCGAAGCCGTAGAGGGCTCCCAGACCCAAGGCCTGCCAGCCTTTGGTGTGGGACGTGGGATACCGTGGCCCAAACGAGCCCACATTGAGCTTCAACACCGTACCCACATCCAGGTTGGCGAGGTAAGTCATGACTTCTTTCATAGCGGCTTCCTGGAAGCAAGGCACATGCGCAACAATTTGCTCTATCATAGAAGCAAATAGGAACGCCTTGCGATCCCCCAAAGGATGAGGCACCCATTTGCCCTCACCCTGGTGGGGTTGAGGGGGCAACAGCTGGTCCCACAAGGCAACCGCAGCCTGAAGCCCCTTGACCATCTCGTCAGAGTTCTCCACAAAGACCACTACAGATGCAGCCTGTACATGGTCCAAAGCATTGGCCTGGTAAAGGGAGAATCGCAAAAGCTTGGTGAAAGTCGGATCCTTGGACTCAGGCACTGCACGCTGCAAAGCTGGACGCTTTGACTGCTCAGAATGAACGCCACCAACCCCTTGAGACTGCAACTCCTGAGCTTTAGCACGAAACGAAGCTCAGCTATGGTAGGCATGGCAAGCGGAGCAATCCCAGGTCAAAAAAGTCTTTGGAGTTGAGCGAAAGGCCATGCGGCAGCTCGTCTTTTCCCGCAAGTGACACTGTGGCGGCCAGCAGCCTTCGGGGTGGCAAAACCTGTTTGGCCATGGCAACACTTATACTCCGATTCTGTAAAATCAAGCTTACAAACTCGCACACGTCTCATCCATTCGGGATATGGCATGGAGGAACAAGTCCTGCTGTGGTGACCACATGTCCCAGGACTAGGAAAGGAAAGAGGGCAAAAAGGACACTTACAAGGATCATCCTCAGGAGATTGAGGTGCTGGAAGGTCAGCCATGGTCATCTGACGGTGTGGAAAACGCTTCTTATAGGCAGCATGCACAGTAGCCGGATCCCAGTCGTCACTCCGCCGACAGCGCAGTTTCCGCACCTTGCCATTCACTGGTGGCACAGGAGCTGGTACTGCAGGTGGCGCCGGAGCAGGCTGCGCTGGTGGCTCAGGCTGGGGGGCGTCTCCTCGTACACGTTGTGCCGCCTGGCGGTCGCGAATGTCTTGGGTAAGGTTTTGACACTGGACAACATGCTTACGTAAGCTGCGCAAATACATGCAAACTGGGGGGTCAGAACAGTGAGGGCACTTGTATTTGCCATCACCAGCAGGTTGTGCACCTAAGGAATCGAAAACACGTTTTTCGGCCGCTGCCCTCCGGCCGGCAGTGGCGGCTTCCGAGTGCTTGACTTGCCAGGTGAGTGGGTTTCAGAGTCACGCAAATGCTTTTGCCACTTGTGCACAATGCGGCTCCAGACCGCACCCCCCTTCCGTTGCTGCGATTTTCATCCAACGAGTCTCCCAGGACTCAACCTGAGATACTTCGATGGCATTTTTCAAAAGTTGCCAAAAATGGCGCCGAGTGGAGGGCGCAACCTTGGAGGCAGGAAGCTCAGATTCTGGCGGCAACCATGAAAACAAGAGGACCCTTTCAAGACAGTCAGGCGGAAGTCTGGCTATGTGACCAAGATATCGGAGCTGACCAACGCTGATATACGTACTGATGCTATCTAAACCGGCTTCACGACGAACATCTGCCATGGTAAGTTGTCCCTCCATCTCCCTCAGGCGCCTCCCAGTGATGCCGCGAGCAACAGTGTTCAAAAATGTTTGCGAATGGTCTTACCAGAAACTACCCGGCTTTCCGTAGAATATAAAAAGGACCTGACAACAGCAGCCTGTACTACTCGACCCTTAGTTTTTGCACTAGCACCAAACCGTGGAAGCTGAAAATAAAGGGACCGCAAAACGGCCCTGGCTCTCTCCAAGCGCTTGTCATCCTCTAATTGGTACGATCCAGTGTCCTGAAACCAAGAAACAAGCAACTTAACACTATCTGCAAAAGAGTGGTCTAACTCACGACCACTGCGGCCGATCATAAGACGCTGTGTCTTCTGAGGTTTCACTGTTTCTTTCCAATCGGCCAGAGTCTGACACAGCAGGTTTTCAAGTTCCACAAGGCTATGCCCCCTAGCCAAAAGGGTGGTGTCATCAGCAAAAGACACCAAAGAAAGGTTATGTTTCTGCACTTGTCCTTCTTGCGAAGCTGCTTCTTCATGCGGGTGTTGAAAGGCTTACCAGGCAAGGTGCAGATTCCAACAAAGTCTTTGCGTTTCTGGTTGAAGTCAAGTAATGGCCACGTGACGTGTGGAAAAGATTATATAGAATGAGTGAAGTGCAGCATCCTTCACGGAACCCAGTAAGTTGCTCATACGGATCAGACATGCCCTGGCGCCCTCTGCATTGGTACGTCGTGTGATCATGCAATCCACGCAACAAACGGATGGTGTTGGGCGGCATTCCCAACCGGCTGAACATGATCCAAGCACTTTCCCTCTGCACGCGGGGATAAGCCTTCTGAATATCAATTAACACCACCAGGAGCTCATTCAGCGGCCTGTCCTCCAGACCACGCACCTCAGCTTCCAGTTCAACCAAAAGTCTGGATAGAAAGAGGGCATCTTGAGTTGATCTGTGCTTACGAAAACCCCATTGGGAAGATGGTAACAGATTCCGTCTTTCAGCCCATTCTGAGATCCTCGTGGCTAGGATCCGTGCTATAATCCTACTTATCCTACTTATTGCGCTCAGCAACACCACAAACCGATGGTTATCCAAGTCACCACGATCTCCTGTACCTTTGTACAAGGCAACTGCCAGCCCATGCGTGGCAAGGGAATCCCAAGTGGCCGGACCTGAAACCCACATTTTGTGCATCAGCAATCTAAGCTGCCAACGAGCCCTCGGCCCAGCAAACTTCAGCATGTTGATGGTGACTTCATCTTTGCCAGGAGCTGATTCCCTCAAGCAGTGAAGGGCCTCAGAGATTTCCTGCTCAGTGGGTGCTATTCCAAGAGGCTCAAAAACTGGGAGTTGTGGGACAACCCTAGCAATCAAATCTGGAGAAACTGGGTCCAAAACCCCGGAGGACTTCTGGGCTTGTCCACGCAGCTCATCTAAGGTGAAAGTTTGGATACCTTCTCGAGAAATCCCAGCAACACTGACACCTTTTTGCTTTAATGTGCGGTAAAACAGACCCAGATCATGTGCATCAAGGCTAGCATTAAGCTTATCGACAATGTGGGTCATCCAACGTTTGCGACGCTGCGCTTTGAATCAGACCGCACCCATGGCATAAGTTCTGTGTAAAAGTACGTTTTCGTAAAAAGGCGGTGTGCAAAAGGTTCTGCGCGCAAATGTTCTTAAGGCATTTGTGTGTGAAAGCATGCGTGTGAAACAAATTCTGTGTGTGAAAACATGTGTGTTACACGCATCTGTGTAAAGGCACCTTACCTGCGTAAAGTTTCTGTGTGAAAGTACGTTTTCGTAAAAAGGCGGTGTGCAAAAGGTTCTGTGCTCAAATAGTCTTAAGGCATTTGTGTGTGAAAGCATGCATGTGAAACAAATTCTGTGTGTGAAAACATCTGTGTTACAAGCATCTGTGTAAAGGCACCTTACCTGCATGCAAAAGTTTTCTGTGTGGGCAACTGTGCGCAAAAGCCGCTGAGTGTGAAAAAATATTTCTGTGTGGTCATTAGATGTAATTAAGGCATTTCTGTGTAAAAGTTTTCTGCGTGTAAGAATTTATGCGCGTAAAAACGTGCGCATGTGCGTAAAAATAGCAACATCTGATAACATCTGTGTGCCAAAGTTGTCCTATGTGAAAATGTTCTGTGTGTAGAAACTTGCTTTGCGTAAGAGCTACGGTGTGTAAAAGATCCTGCGTTTAAATTTTCTGTGTGTAAAGGCCCCCGTGTGTAAAAACGCCTGTGTGTCAAAGTTTATGCGTGTGAAATCACCTGTTTGTAAAAAATGTGTGTGAAAGTTTCTGCAACAGATTGTGTGTTGGAAAGTCTTTCTGCGTAGAAACATTTTTTGTGTAGAAGATTCCGTGTGTGTGTTTTTGTGTGTGTGTGTCAACGCATCTTGGTGTGAAGCCTCCTGTGCGCATTTTTTTGCGTATAACAGGTTTGTGTGCAAAAAACATGTGAAAACGTTTGTGCATAAAAGTTTTTGCATGTAAAAAAACCTGTAAACAGTTTTGGTGTGTACAAGCACTTGTGTATTTTTTTGGGGGTGTGGTGCAAGATTTTGCCCGCAAAAGTTTCTGAATGCATTTGTGTGTGAAGGCACGTGTGTGATCGCGTGCGCGTGTCAGTCTAAGCGCGTATAAACACATACATGAAAAAAAAATGTGCCAAGGATTTTCTCTGTGTAAAAGAGATTAAAAGAGACCGTGTAAAAAAAAACTGTGTGTAAAGGCACTTGTGTGTCACGGCACCTGCGAAAAAGTTTATGATTGCAGAAAAGTGTTGTATTACTTTTTTCGAGGGTGGGGAGGTGAAAAATGTAATATTACAATAATCGAATTTGACGTGAAAAATGTATTGTTACAAGTTTTAGGTGCCATGGGGGAATAGAACCGCTACCCTACACCGCACTACCACTACACTACAACTACAACTACAACTGCAAACACTGCAACTACAACTACAACTTCAACCACTACAACTACAACTACACTTACATGACGCTACCACATACCACCACTACACTGCACTAGACTGAGGTGACCATTGCAACCGGTCCAAAAAGCACAACTCCAACCACCTTTCGGTCCATCAGTGGATTCGCTCTGCCATCCACGCATCACAACAACTCACCTCCTATAGTTTCCTATCTTTGAAACTTCCGCCACCGCCTTGTGCGGTACTATTGGTAACCACCATCATCAACAACACCTTGTTCACCCGTAAGATCACAACCAACATCACACCATCGTCTTTATCAAAAAACTTTTCGGCTTTCGGAAGGAACCCTTCGGGCCTGTGACTTGCCTTTGGGAAAAACATTTGATGTTTGTCTCCAGGTTCCTTTTAGGTCGCACAATCGCCTCATTTTTTAATGGCATTCAACGGTTTATTTCACGTGAATACAACTTGTTCCACCGTGAAAAATCAACACGCTCCAACTTCAAACCTACAGCACTCCTGGAAGAACATGCCCAATGATAGCCACCATGGCCAAACGGCCGTTGGCAAGCTCCGATGCGAGCTTGCGCTCCTTGACCACTGGGTCATCGGATGTGATCAGTTTCCATCCGAAGTCACCCACTGCACCAGGAGTTCCGGGAGCCTGGCTCTTGGACGTTTCGCAGAATGCCATCCATCCCAAGATCTGAGCCCATCCTTCCACAGGGACTTTGGAAATAGCCGCCAAACCATTTGGGACGTCTTCAAACTTAAGGCCAGCCGAAGGAGAAAGGAATCCCGGAAATTTGCCGGTGATTTCTGGTGTCATGTAGCCCATAGTAGCAAGCATCGCAATGCGACCATGCTTGATTTCAGTCTGACGACGGCGCTTGTAGGCATCAACATCACCGTCAGCTGTGAACCCAACTGGATCCCAAAATCCGAAGGGAGGCTGGGCACCCATCTCATTCTCAAACGCGCGCAGAGGCGAAGCTGTGTAGTTGGCCCAGTCACCCCAGGCGCTTCCAGTCAAGCCGTCCTGTGACGTGGTTGGCTGTTGACATGTGGTAGTCATGACCCTGAAAATGAAAAAGATGACCCATCTATTGAATTCAAAGAGAACATTTACATGATGACAAGCAAGAAGAAATGATGATGACGATGATAATCTGAATGTCGATGAAGGCACACATGATGATGATAAAGATGATGATGGTGATACTGATGAAGCTGATGGTGATAATGGTGAAGCTTGTGATGATGATGTTGGTGATGGTGGTGATGATAATGATGATAATGATGATGGCCATGATGCTGATGATGATAATAACAAAAATGATAATGGCCATGATGCTGATGATGATGATGGTGATATTGATATATATATATATATTATATATATATATATTGATGATAAAGATGAAGATGATGATGATAATGATGATGATGGTGATGAAGATGATTATTTTATGATGATGATGATGATGATGATGATGATGATGATGATGATGATGCTGATGCTGATGCTGATGCTGATGCTGGTGGTGGTGGTGGTGGTGGTGGTGGTGGTGGTGGTGGTGGTGGTGG